CTAGGATTACATGCCATTATACCCGGTTTTGTCTTGTTTTTCAATCCATAAAATGATAATCATCATCATCATCTCCTTCTAAGTTGGCCATCTAACAACGATGAAACAATATAAATGAGCTATATCAAACAAACACAACACAGGATTCAAGCTTGCCCATGATGATGCTATAGCACTGTGAAGCTCAAATACCACAGTTTCGCCTTTTGCAAAGTGCGAAACCACCCTCAAAACTCAGACAAAGCAAACCAAAGGTGGATTATCTCTTTGCTGCTTGTCTGGGCTTCAGCAGAGCAAGACTCAGTGCCTGGGGGTGTCTTCATGGTTGAGGGCTGGAATGCTCCGGTTTACGAACAAGGCTGATAGTTAAGCTGGAATGACAGCTAAGTGTCCACACCCAACCACACTCTCCATGCACCCTGAGCTTCCTCTTAGTGTGCCCACTCACCCACTCGAGTGTAGTCAGACTCACATGGCCTCAACTGCCTTCTGTCTCAGTAAGCAAGTTGAAAGCTGTTTCATACTTTAAGGTCTAGGGTCTAGTTCCCAAAGTCACACAGCTTCACTTCTGGTGTGTGTGTAATACAAGGCCGTCACCGAGTTTGGTTCAAAATCAGACAGAGGGCATATGAATTCTACATTTCGATGGAAGTTGTATCAAAGAATTTTCAGCCTCCCCCCCCCCCTTTAGTTTTTTTGAGACAGGGATTTCTCTGTGTAGCCATGGCTGCCCTGAACTCCCTCTTGAGCTGGCCTCAAACTCAGAGATCCATCTGCCTCTGCCTGCCAGGAACTGAAATACAGACAAGTATCACCACCCCAGCTGTTTCTTCTGCTTCTTCTCAACTGTGGGACTTCTAAATGCTCCAAGTCCCAGATACCTAGATTTGAAGGCAAGGTGTCCTGCTTTGCTTCCCGTTGTTGTGATAAACACCATTACCAAAAGGAGCCTGGAGAGGAGAGGTTTATTTATACGTTTGTAGGTTCCAGTCCTGCATCCAGGGAATCTAAGTCAGGAGGAAGTCAAGGAGAGACCTGGAAAGCTACCGTGGCAGAGGCCATGATGCGGGGCTTGGAGGTTTGCTCACAGAAAAGAAGACCCTGCACAAAGACAGGGGACTTGGAAAACTGAAAAGTCTTGTGTCTTCTTCAGGCCTGGCTTCCGCCCTGGTTTTCCTTCCCTAATTTAGGGCTGGTCAGTTTGAAGAAAGACTCCGTGGCTGATTGGCCCATAGCTGTTGTGTAAACCTATCCTGACGTGGCCTTGAGCTCATTGAGCCAGCCAGCAGGGGCCCACAGGCAGGAGAAAAGCCCACAAGGGCTTTGTTTTAAGCCACTATACTTTAGTCTCAGGTCTGGAGGGTGAGGAAGTAGCTTGGAAGTTCAAAAGTCTTCATAACCTAGTCGTGGCCCTTCTCCTTATCCGGCATAGGACTCTACCTCCTCAACCACCCCCCTTCTCAAAGGTCGCCCTAAGGCTGTTAGAGGCCTGGAGCAGGGGTTGCTCTTAGGAGCTTCAGGCTGACAACAGGGGTGAGGAGTGAGGGGCAAGAGTCAGAGTTAATCTACCAGGTCACCACGATGATCCAGCGTGTACATTCTTGGCGTGTGTGGGAGCTAAAGATGCCTGTGCCCATCTGTACCAGATGCAAAGTCCAGTGGGAGGGGACAGTAATAGAGGAAACCTGAGCGAAAGCCAGATCCTGTGTGCCGAAGTCACAAGGCAGGATCTTGACTTGGTTTGTGTTCTTTGCCAGTCAAAGCATCGTGAGGCAGGGGATTGACGGGAGCGGAGGAAACCGGAACACAGCAAACAGGAGCACACAGTGTCAGCAGGGAAGAGAGGCATTTATTGAGGTCGAGGGACAAACACACACACACACACACACACACACACACACACACTCACAGCAGGCACACAGATCCCCAGGCCTAAAGAAGCACACAAGGGAATGATGCCAAAAAAAATCTGGGCCAGTCCATACTAGATGGGTGCAGTCAGCCATCCTGTGAAGAGACATGCTTGTAAGACACGGTCACTGTAAATAAATTGATGCTGATGTGGATATTGTTTAATATGTAGCCACTGAAAATGTCTTAGAAGTTTGGATGTTATAAAGAAGTGATATGAAGCGGGAGAGACGGCTCGGGGGTTAAGAGCACTGGCTGCTCTTCCAGAGGTCCTGAGTTCAATTCCCGGCACCCACAGGGTGGCTCACAACTGTCTGTAATGAGATCCGGTGCCCTCTGCTGGTGTGCAGGCATACATGCAGAGCATTATACGCATAATAAATATTTAAAGTGCTATAATGACATTTTTTTAGGGAATAACTTTTAAAAGTAAACTAGGACAGTTGGGGGCTAAAACTAACAACCCAAAGCCCGGCAGTTGTGTTTCGGACAAAACCAAGGGGGAAGGGCCCCTTGCCTGGCTGTTGGCCCTATTTTCGTACTTACTCATTATGTGTTCCTGTTTTTTGTTTGTTTGTTTTGTTTTGTTGTTTGGGTGCCTTAAACTAGCACAGCTTTGATAACATTGCCCTATGACCCCCTACACACACACACACACACACACACACACACACACACACACACACACACCACACCCTCCTGAAACTTGCTCTGTAGACCAGGCTGACCTTGAACTCTGAGATCTGCCTAAAGGCATGTGTTCCTGCCACACCACCACCCCCCAGCTTTTTTTTTTTAAGTCTCTTTTATTACTCATATCTGTCAAACCATCTTCTGACTTGAAGTAGCTCTCAAGGGAACTTCCCTACTTGGAAGAGAATGTACCATAATGACATTGGCAAGCAGAATGGTTATTTGATTGGTGGTATGTTTTTCAACAGACCAGAACTTAATGTTTTGGTTCACCAAGCAGCCACACATGTACCTCTTACCTTGAAACAGAAGCGCCAGCTCCTAGGTTGATGATGGAGACTGGACCAGATTCACAGGCATCCTGTTTCAGATGCTTTCTAATCTCAAAGCACCTCAAACACAATAAGGAGGATAGGGTGGCTGCCCCCCCCACTGCTATCATTAATAGAAGTGCACACACATGCACACAGGCAAATCAGCTCAATCTTCCACGGCCTCGGCGAGTTACTTTGGCAATTAACTGCACAGTATTGGTAACTTCTGCTTTTCACTCGTGTTTCTGTTAACACACATCCTCTCTGAATTATCCCCTGCTTTTGGTTAAATGTATTTTAAACAATAAATTGGATATAGTTTTTGGAGAAACCTTGGACCACAGTCTATGAAGCATTTTGGATGATTTTCTTTGAAATAAAAAAGGTCTGAAGCTTAAGATGTCTAGAATGCCGTGTGCTTTTATCAGGCCCTGGTGCATGAAACGAGCGGTTGATGCTAAGTGAATGAAACTAGGCAACAAATAGACTGAAAGCCAGGTGTTAGATTTTCATTTATACCCACTTGAACTGATCAAGTGCTTTCAGGACAGGGTACAAATCCCATACTGAGCATTCAGCTGCTGCAAGACGTGGTTCTACGAAACTCGGCTTGGCTGATGTTTCAACCTTGGGGCGTAAGGCTTTGTTGATTTGTTTTTGTGTTTTATTTTTGTGTATTATTATTATTATCATTTATTTATTTATTTACTGCTTGTTATGACACGCAGAGCTTCTTTGCAACGGCAGTGACAAGCATCATGGGCTTGGCGGCCGCCTTCCTCCCTCTAGGATTTCTAGCTTCTCTTAAAACACCACCACCGCTCTTCTAGTAAAATCGCACAGGACAGATCAGGCTGAGAAGGGAGCCGGAGCCATGGAGACTCAGCCTGGGGTGGGGATGGGGATGAGGGTGGGGGATGGGGATGAGGATGGGGGATGGGAATGAGGGATGGGGATGGGGATGAGGATGGGGATGAGGGATGGGGATGGGGATGAGGGATGGGGATGGGGATGGGGGGATGAGGGATGGGGGATGGGGATGAGGGATGGGGATGGGGGATGGAGGTGGAGATGGGGGGATGGGGATGGGGGATGGGGATGAGGGATGGAGGATGGAGGTGGAGATGGGGATGAGGGATGGAGGATGGGGGATGGGAGATGCGGATGGGGGATGGAGGTGGAGATGGGGGATGGGGATGAGGATGAGGATGGGGGATGGGGATGGGGGATGAGGGATGGGGATGAGGGATGGGGGATGAGGGATGGGGGATGGGGATGAGGGATGGGGATGGGGATGGGAGATGGGGATGGGGGATGGGGATGGGGGATGAGGGATGGGGGATGAGGGATGGGGGATGGGGGATGGAGGTGGAGATGGGGGGATGGGGATGGGGATGAGGGATGGGGGATGAGGGATGGGGGATGGGGATGAGGGATGGGGATGGGGATGAGGGATGAGGATGAGGGATGGGGATGGGGGATGGGGATGAGGGATGGGGATGAGGATGAGGGATGGGGATGGGGGATGGGGATGAGGGATGGGGATGGGGGATGGGGATGAGGGATGGGGATGGGGGATGGAGGTGGAGATGGGGGATGGGGATGAGGATGAGGGATGGGGATGAGGATGAGGGATGGGATGGGGATGGGGATGGGGGATGGAGGTGGGGATGGGGATGGGGGATGGAGGTGGGGATGGGGATGGGGTGGACGTGCGAGCGCGCGGGCGGCTGCCGCAGAAGGAACCTCCCCTGGCGGCGGCGGGGGCGGCGGCGGGGGCGGGGGCGCGAGGGCGCTCCCGGTGACGTCACGCGCGGTGACGTCACGGCGGTGACGCGCGGTGACGCCGTTGCCGCGGCGACCGCCCGCCGTCTCCGCCCCTCCGTGCCGTCCCCCTCCTCCCTGCTGCCGCTCCTCCCCGGCCCCGGTCCCTGAGGCTGCAGCCGGGGCCGCCGGCGGGTTCCTGAGCCGCCTCCGCCCGGGCCGCTCCGCCCCCGGCCCCGGCCCCGGCCCCCGCGCCCGCCTCCGCCCGCCCTGCGCCTCCCTTCCCCCTCCCCGCCCCGCGGCGGCCGCTCGGCCCGGCTTGCGCTTCGAAGATGGCGGCGCTGAGCGGCGGCGGCGGCGGCGGCGGTAACGGCGGCGGCGGCGGCGCCGAGCAGGGCCAGGCTCTGTTCAATGGGGACGTGGAGCCCGAGGCCGGCGCCGGCGCCGCGGCCTCGTCAGCTTCCGACCCGGCCATCCCCGAAGAGGTGAGCGGGGCCGGGGGGAGCGGGGTGAGCGGGGCCGGGGTGAGCGGGGCCGGGGGCAGCGGGGCCGGGGGGAGCGGGGCCGGGGGGAGCGGGGGGAGCGGGGCCGGGGGGGAGCGGGGTGAGCGGGGCCGGGGGGAGCGGGGCCGGGGGGAGCGGGGCCGGGGGCAGCGGGGCCGGGGGGAGCGGGGTGAGCGGGGCCGGGGGGAGCGGGGCCGGGGGGAGCGGGGCCGGGGGGAGCGGGGCCGGGGGGAGCGGGGCCGGGGGCAGCGGGGCCGGGGGGGAGCGGGGTGAGCGGGGCCGGGGGCAGCGGGGCCGGGGGGAGCGGGGCCGGGGGGGAGCGGGGTGAGCGGGGCCGGGGGCAGCGGGGCCGGGGCTCGGGCTGCCCGCCCCGCACTCTGCACGCACGGCGGCCCCGGGGCTGCACGGCCCCCGCCCGCGTGGGCTTGGGGCGGCGCGGGCAGCCCTGCAGCCTTGCACGGGGCCCACAGTCCCGGCTGGCGGGGAAGGAAGGTCAAGCCTGGCCGGGTTCGCAGCCCCGCGGCCGGCACGCGTGGGTCCTCTTGGCCGGCCGGGCGGCGGGGATGGGGCTGAGCGGCCCGCGCGGCGCCCGAGCCCCCCGGCCCGGCCCGGCCCGGCCCGGCCCTGCACACTGCCGCGTCGTGGGCATGACGGAGCGCATCTCCCCGCTCTCCGTCTCCCCTTCCAGGCCCTTCTCCCGTGCCCGCTTTGCTGCTTGTTGGGGGCCATTTCTCGGGATCGGATTTGCCCCCCGGTGGGTGGGGGGAGCTGATTTTGGTATAGCCTTTACTTTTTCAGCCCCAAATTTTAAATGTTTCCGAAGCTTTTCCTGTCCGGGTCTCTGGTCCCCGAATAATAATAATAATAATAACGTTTGTCTGTGTTCCCACGCCGACCCCTGACCTCCGCTCCATCCTCACCCACCACCCCGGCTCACTTCCCAGCCGTACCGACTAGCTTCTTTCTCACCTGAGCTTGCTGGAGGAGCATTTGTGCGCTTCTCTGCCCTGGTCCTCTGAGGCCCCTCCATCCCATGGCACCTGCTCCATCACCTGGTTATCTACTGTTACCTTCACAAATCCTGCTGGACACTTTGCAAGCTACTCTCTCCCTGCACCCCAAAGCTGTCAAGATTCCTGCAGGTTTCCCTTGCGTCCTTGCTCCCTTACACACGGCCGGCCGGCCGTTGGCGATTTGGGTTAGTCTTTCGGGGTTCCTTCACACCTCTTTAGTGACGTCCTTGGTGATTTTTGTTTTTAGTGGGTTTAATTGAACCTTTTTTTCCTCTTTCATGTTTACCTGTGTTTAGTATTGCTTCTCTTAACCCGTCCTTGCATCATTCAGCACATTACATGGTCAGATTGGTTAATGTTCTCCCTCCCCCCCCCATATGTAAAACTTACTACATTTACTGTCTGAGCATTGTATCACATAAACAATACCATATTTTACAAACAGTTGGTTAGTGTGCTTCCCAGTTCTCGCACTATCCCCTCCCTTATCCCTGCAGTGTTCTTTTTCCTGATTCATTGTATTCATTGGGAAACCCATCCTCTGCTCTTGATATATCATTAGCAGTCTGTTCACAAATAATGGTTTCCATCCGTTTATGCCATCCCTGCCCAAAAGGTGCTCACTACCAATCATTTGAGCTAGCCTAAATCCCTCCCTCTTTCCTTCCCTCCCCCTCCCTCTCTCCTCCCTTCTCTTACTGACATTTTGAGACAGGGTTTCTCTGTGTACCCCTGGCTGTCTTGGAACTTCCTCTGTAGACCAGGCTGGCCTCGAACTCAAAGAGATCCATTTGCCCAGCCTCGGGAATCCTGGGACTAAAGGCTTGTGCTACCACTGGCTGGCTTTTCTTGTTTGTTAATTTGAAATAACTCCAACTTCCAGTTTTAACTTGTTCAGGCAGTGTCCACTTGGTGTCTTTATTTCCCCTAGCTTCTTAGAGTCCAGGGATAACGCTGGCCCTCCATCCATTTCCTAGTTCACGCTGCTTCCCTTATCCCTAGTTACCATTCATTCTGTCTTGTTTCCTGGCTTTGGTACTAAACTTGCCGAAGCTTCCTCTTGTCTTCCCCACGCCTCCACATTCCTTCTTATTTATAAACAACTTTGTTCCGTTGACATGGAAATTTATTTTTAGGACACATTGTTTTTAATGGAGAAATGTTAGGGGTCGCATCTGCTGTCTGTTTTCTCCAGGAATCGGATATGCCTTTGTCTTAGTAGGCACAGGTGCCTCTGGGCCAATTCACTTCACTCTGCAGGGCCTGCATGGCTTTCTCCAATTGTAAAGACGTTTGAAGAGTATGGTAGAAGCTTGAGTGAGTTAATGGGTAGGAGTAGTTATACAATTACAATTCTCTGCTGTAACACTAATTTGAGAACTTTGTTTCAGAGTTATTAGGACAGTTCCATGTCTTTATGGAAGACTGTTATGTACTTGAGGGAGCTAGATTATCTCACCTTCCCCCCCCCTTCCTGAAGTAGTGAGTGTTAGCGCTACTAGTTTCTATTTGGAACTTTCTGGGCATTTCTCATGTACCAGTGCTTGAGAATATGTAGGCTAGATGAAATTAAATTAAATTGCCAATAACAAACTAACTGCAAGTTTGGTCGTGTTTCCTCAAACTGTATTCTTAATTTATTTAGTTAAAAGACAGATGTTTCCTATTGCCCCCCTCCCAGGGTTTAATGTTTGCTGATGAATAGTTGTCTTGTGTAAAAGATGATAAATATGTTTGGCTGGGAAAGATTATGATTAAAAAGTGGATCTCTGTTGACTACAGATACAAATATGATACATAATAAACTAGATTCTTCCAGGAAATAGTGTCATGCAGCCCAGGCTTTTCAGGAACTCAGCATGTGTCTGAGGCTGTGGGACTCATGGTCCTCTGCCACACCTCTTAGGAGCTGGGGTTACATGTGTGCACCCCTGTACCCAGCAAGAAAGAGTGTGAAAGTTGACATTGAGAGGAAACTCAAATATCTTGTGGTCTCTTAATTGAACTGCCTTCTTTGTGTGAATTTAAAGGGATACTGTTAATGAGTACATGCAAAGATGGAAAATTGTACATGTATGTAATGACATATCTTATTCTAAGTTCTTATCTTACCTGGGTTTTAAAAAAGTTTGTCAGAAATTTCAGCCGCCAAAAGCTGATTGCAAAGGGAATGTCTGTCCATTATTTTAAAAAAGTACAAACTTTTTGTATAATTGCTATAAACATTTGCATGTATTACAACTAGTCTTTTTAATACTTGTTAATATATATGTATATGTATACATATATATATATAGATACATAGATTTGTAACTTTTATAATACAATAGTTCAGCAAAACTTATGTGTCCCTAGGTAAATAATTTAACTAATAACTTGGTTGAACATTAAGTTATTCTTTAAAAAATCTGATGTTATCATACATCTTTAACATGGAATGTAGACAGTGGTATATAAAATTATGTTGGAGAATGAACAGATTTCATGGCCAGTATTTGTATTATTTTATAGGTGCTCAAAATAAAATGTTCTGATAAGTGACAAGAACTTAACTAAATGCTTATTAAGTGTGCATGTATAATTTTGCTATTAAGCATTTATTTCTGACCATTTATATTTCCTTGGTGGTACTTTTTTTCTCCTGAGACCATATGGCATGACATGGTAGGTGGTATAATATTACCAGCTTGTTAAAATAAATACATGTATTATTTAAATGTATGATACCAGGGTGTGATATTTACTACCTGCTCCTTTCATGCTGTTTCTAGAGAGTTTCTTAAAACTGCAATACAGTTAGAATAGTGTTATTTTCTGCTTTCAGGATCTCTTAGCCAGTCTTGGCTAAGCTGTGTAATTATAATAATGCATTGGCTAGGGAGATCCACTGTATTAAATACGTCTTTGTGAACCTGCCAGGTTAAGTGGCAACCATCACACCTTTGAGAAGTGGTATTCTCAGTAAGGTATGAAGGTATATGTGTACACGGAGTTTTAGCTGTTGTTATTAATACTTGTTTAGATATATGTAAAGATTTTTTGGAGGGGAAGCTATAAAGTAGCTGTCTGTCTTCAGTATTTCTGTGTTGCTCCTTTCCTGAACCCTCCCCTTTTTCCTGACTTAACACTTGTTTAGGCATCCATTCACCCTCTTATTTAAAATAAATAAATACATAAATAACTTGTATCAGTTGCTGGCAATCTGTTGTAAGTGGACCAAAAGGAATGTCTTAAACATAATTGCAGATTTGACTTAATTGTGTTTGGAGGCCAGAAAAAGTGTAGTAGCACACCAACTATAGTAGTCAGACTTGCCTTGCTTTCCTCTCCCGGTTTTGCTGGTGGGATGAGTAGGTCTAATAGCAGCCGGAAGGCCTGGAAGGCCTCGTTCTCGGAGTGACCAGGGGAAAGGCAGTGTTAGCCATGCTCTGCTTTGGTGTTGGTGCTAACCTGCAAGTCCCACGGTGGGCTGGGCTGCTGCCTCTTTCCCCTTCGTCTCCAGCTGTAGAATCGCTCTCCCCTTCAGAGCTGTACAAGTGTGTTGTTTCGCTGACAACTTAGTAATTTAGGTGAGTACTTAGCGAACCTCATGTCACAGTCCCTTTCTTTTAAAAATCTTGCTTGCTCCCGTTTGCGCTCCTATGTCAAACGCCTGTTGCGATAGATAAGCCTTTTTGTCGGCAGCTCTTACGGGATTTTGTCTTCCTCGGAGGTTAAATTGTTTGCAGTCCTTTATTCTTTCCCCTTGCCTAGTTCACCTGTGTTGATTCTTCTGTAAAGCCCTAATTATAAATAATTATAGAACTTCTGGATTCAAAATAAGTGGGCCTGTTTGGGAACGTTTCTGGTTTTTGAGGTCATGCTGTGCTTTCTTTATCTTAGTGTTAGAGATAACTTCATGTTAGTATAACACGACATTCATTCTCATTGATTCACATTCTTTAAATATTACATGGATGCATTGACTGT